GGATCACTCCGTAGTCATAGGAGTGCGAAATGTCTTTGTTTTCGACCACAAAATCTCCGGGAAAGAAGTCGTGATTATCGATGTTATGGACCGGATATAGAGAAATGGACGGAACGTCTTCCTCGGTGTTGGTATTCTGCCAAACGACAGACACCCGAGTGTTTGTGGCTATGATTTCTATTGGGAGTCGAGCGCCGGGAGTAGTGCTAATGGGAAGGGAGAGCGGAGTCTTCCGGTGCGAAGGCAACAGTTTCTTGGATTTAATTTTCCTCAACGACAGTGAAAATTGATTTTTCCTTTTCTTCGCTTTTTTAGTCTTAGAATTACTCGTCTCTATGGAAGAGATGGAAAGGCTATCGCTGTCTGACTTAGTTATGAGAGGATTTTCATTCGACGCCACAGTGTTTTCGTTATCCGACTGACGGCTAATCTCATCGCTTGTTTTAATAGTGCTTTCATTCTTCTCTTCGTTCAACCATTTCATCGATTCCTTTGCCTCCCATTCAGAAACGCTGACAATAGAGTCGTTCTCTTTGATGGTATAATAGCACTGATGGCCGATCTGTGCCGAACACTTCCTGAAGTGATTCACACATTTCATCCGCGATATGGCTTCGCCTCTAATGATATCTCCCATCGGGTGATAAGTCGGGCCACCGATCGGACTGTTGACAGACTTATCTTTGTTTACATTCTTCAGGTTATTATTACCGGTCATTGAAGTATTCATTTGAGATTTATTACATAAATTATCGTCCGATAGACAGCACAACCAATTGACGGACACATTATCGATGGCAATGTCTTCGACCGCCACATTGATCTTAGAGTTGCGGACGGACTGAGAGCTCATATAGCGTTTCATTTGTTTCGTTTGATGACTCCATTGGGCGTTCTTGAGGTCACTTTTGGGACCAAACAGTTGTTGTCCGATATAATAATCATCTCTACTAAACTCGGTGTCGTTGCTCTCGCGTTGTGTCAGCAGATCCTCGAAGTCGCTGATATCCACGTCATCGATGGTGAGAAGCGATCCGTCAACACATTTCAATGTGAGCTTAAGATTCACTTCTTTCACGTAACCGATCCACGAGTCCAACAAACAGATGGTCTCTGCGCTTAAACTCAACAACATTTCCATATCATTCGTGTCCACGTTTTCGATCACTTTATCGGTCCCTAAGATCTTAATTGTGGTCAATATTCTGGTGGATCGACAGAAGCCGTGTTCGCCGTTTGGCACCAATTTATTTGTCAACGGATCCAAGCGTTGAACAATGTCTCCGTTCAGAAGCGACCGGTCGTAAAGTTTGGCCTAAATTTGTTGACAAAAACATTAAATCGATAAAAAAACAGACAATTAATGTCTAGAAAAAACAAACCACACCTTAGACTCGTTGATCACTCGAGTGGTTCCGTTGGGATACAACGCGATGCGGGCGAAGCCGGGCTTCACTCGACGCCACTTATGGCCGTCGGATGAGTTGCGGTCAGCGGTGGAGCCACTGATGCGGCTGTCGTTGTCCTCGTCGTCGTCGGAA